AAAGGACGGCTGGGATTAAAGACGAATGATAAGATAGAAATATATGTTACTTTAGAATAGATAATGTATATAAAATTTAATGTATATGTAGAGATAATGAATTGATTGTAAAATATGGTATAATCTGATAAGAATGTATATACTGGAATGTCACGTCAAATCCAATGTTTTTTTTTAATTGTTTTATAAATAAAAAGTTAAAAAAAAAAGTTATCCACAAAACAACTTTCTCCTGATTTTAATCATTTTAATCATCAAGCCTTTGTGTACATTTCTCTGCACAATCTACTTAACTCTATACCACCTAGTCTCATTTTGAATTGTATCTTTCTTCCCTGCTCTGCCAAATGACTCTATTCTAGTTATTCTCCTGGCTTCCTTTTATGCCTTACTTTCATGATCTCCTGCAATATGGCAGATGTTTCAGGTGAAGGAGAAATAACTTGGCCTAGTAAAGTGGCTTTTACTTAAAAATCACTGACCTATTGAGAAAAAAAAAAACAAATGTAGGAAAAAGTTTTGCAACTTGATAATGCAGAAGTGAGATCTCAAGAAAGAATTGTGAAAAGATGGAAGAAGCCCTGCAGGACTAATGATTACTAATACTACATATGCTACTATTAGATAAGGCAAAGAGTACTCTGGGTTGACCAAGGGAAGGGTAGTGTTACTATGGGACATCATTATTTGACCACACTTGTAACTTTACTCTATAAATTTAACTTGCCAAACAGGTAGAACCTTGTGTTCTCTCCCAAGCAGTTAGAATAAACTTTGCTCAAATCAGAGAGTAATGTCTCCACTTGCTAAAAAGGCACTTGTTTTCTTTCCCTTCGCAGATACCCCCAGGCAGAGGAAAACTGATATGCTGTAGATGTAATCCCAGCAAAGATTTTTGCACACCTCAACAGACACTCAGAAGGCTGATCATGCAGCAGTATGCAAAAAAGACTAATCCGTTTCAGTGGACATGAACAGCTAAAATGCAGGAACAATATATATCAAACAATGAGTGTTTACTTTAAGTTTTCCCTATTTGGGATGACTTGTGGAGGCCAATAAAATGCAAGTATGGGTTTCTCTGTATGCAGGCACAAGATAAAATAAACAGGCAAAATACATTACATGCATTACCAATTAAGCATTACAATCTGGAAATAATGAGATCGTGAGAAAAAAAAATGCAAGCATTTACTCAATTCAGCAAACAGATAATACATAAGATAAGATGTGAAAGAAGTATTTTTCTTTCTTTTTTCCCTAGTATTTTCTCACAAGTGCAGAGTCTGGTTTTTTTTCTTGATCAACCAAGAATTGATCCATTTAGTTACAGAAGGAATTGATCACACAGCTGGCTTTCATGCCTAAGGCAGGTCTACAATTCAGCCTCCAGGTTTCTAATCTAGTGCCTTAGCCACTAGACCAGACTGGCTCTCTTGAGTGTCTGAAATATAAATTATATTCAACATCAAAAAGGCAGATGACTCTGAGCAGTTCTGGAAGAAAATGTTTTGTAAAAGGATAAGTTTCTAAAGCATAGATAGGAAGTTGCTCCTGTATTTATTATACTTCTTTTAATATATGAGATAATTATATCCAGAAAAGGAGTATAAAAATATATAAATGCCATATCTCTTTTCTCCTCCCTCCCCCAATAACATTCAGTGCCTGCTTTCAGTATGACGAGTCTTCATTTTACATATACATATACATATACATGTTCGTCATACTTGGTTGTTGTTTTCTCGGGCACAACTTTCACCTTCAAGCTTTCTCAGGCATAAGCACAGGAAATAAATGTCTCAACTTACCACATGCATTAGGCTTCTAAAGCTAGCATCTAAAAGCATCAGCTTCCAGGGTTCCTCCAAATTCTCTGGTACAGGCCTATAGATGTAGTAGGCTAGCAGAGCTGAAGCTACCAGAAAGAAGAAGAATTTTCCTCCCATCTTTTCCTCCGTCTACTTTACTCAACTCTCGCTCTCACTGACTAATCTCAGGAGGATTGCAACACTGACAGGTCAGCTGATTAAGCATTTCTCTTGATCTCAATAGTAAAGTTAGTGCCAGAGGCGCTTTGTTAAATATTCAATTTGCTTTGGTGATTACATCGTGAGACAGTTCTTGATTATTAAAACTTTTTGTTTCTTCAGGGAAACCGGTTCTACAGTATATTCAAATATTTAAGGATTGCAACACACTTGCTTCACTTTGCCCTGGAAAATTACACAACTGAAATTATAAGTTGCAAAGTTGCTAGAGAGAAAGTAGAATTGCTGGATTTACAGAGAAGAAATCAATAGAAAAATCATATGATTCAGATTAATAAAATAAAGATGCCATCACACTGAGCAATTTTCTTGGTTACAAAAGTGATTAGTCATTGCCTTCTTCCATGCTGTTCTCTTGCTTTTAATAAATAATATTTAATTTTAATTAAAACATTAATTATTAAATTAAATTAATTGTTCAAATGTATTTAAGAATATGTTTTAGGATATCCTATGCATTCTGCTAGCTAAGCAGAACTAGCTAAGAGCACCTTTACTTTGGTTGAATTATTATGATGATGATTATAATTATGTGATTCACAGTGATGTGAAATCACCACAACTAGTTCTCTAGCTGAATTCATACCGAGTTCTTCCCAATTTTGGGAGGAATTCCCCCATTCAGGCTCTTCCAGCCGGGATTCTCCCAAGCAGCGTAGAGGAGAACAAATAGAACATGAAGCCAGCTACTGGAAAGAGAGGTTTAATCATGGAGATTAAAGTTGAGTGACAATTCAGCATGAATCCCCGGCTAGCTAGACAGAATGGTCCTCAAATGTGAGTTCTTATACCCTTTCATGGTTTCCAAAATTGTCATTTCTGATTGGTGAGTTTAAAATTTTTCTTTTCTGATTTGTTGGTTAGTGTCTATTGTTGGGTTAATTTCTTTCTCAATTCGGTCTACAAAGTGTTATTTTTTGCTTCAGGAGGGATCCATTGTGATTATTTTATTGTTGTGTACTTTTTAGTGTTTCTATTCTAATCCTGTCAGTCCTAATTACTGTTAGCCGGTTCTGCATTCCTGTGGTTTAGACTTGATACCTTGTAGCCAGTGTGTGTTAAGTGTTTGTTTGTTTATTCTCAGGCTGCCACTGAGTCAGACTAGTTTGTATTTGGTTCATCCTGTATTTGCCAAGGTATTTTCTCTTTGGGGTGAGGAGGGGGTGTCCTGCTCTCATCACCAAGAACCTAGGATGTCAATATGTATTGGCATAGTATATGCATTGATTCAAGCAAGGTGCTTTTTGCATTTGACATATTTTTTGACAAATGTACATATTGTCTAAGTACTACCCAATGCTTTCTGGTGTGGCACTTAAAAAATCCACATATTCATAAACTATAATTTGGTTGAATCTTGATCAATCTAAAAATTATAGGGCTATCAGTGCATGTAACATAGATGTGTGTGTGGACAAGAATTGTTGTGGCTCCGTCTTGTGAGCCCCTCTTATCGGAGGAAGAAGGCTCCGAACATGAAGGAGAGGAGATGGCCAGGCCTCCCTCTCCAGGACCCTCCTCTTTGGCAATGCCTCAGGTGTCTCCCGACGGAGAAGAGAGTGACCAGGAGCCAGGTGGTTCTGAGATTGGCCAGGAGCCAGGTGTTTCTGAGATTGGCCAAGAGCCAGGTGTTTCGGATAGTGAGGAAGAGAAGTTGTGGCTGGATCCACGCCAGTGTAGGAGCGACAAGCGTGCGCAGCAGAAAAGGAGACGTGCCAGAGATCAAGCTGAGTCACTGGACCACACCCCACAGGCTATAAAAGGGAGGTGGTGGCCATTTGGACTCTGTGATGGACAAAGCTGAATCTCTGGCGAAGTAGTTTGCTGTGGACTTAATTTTCTAACTGTGTGTATTGTTTTTTGTTCTCTGAGTAAAAGTCTTGGCAGGCAGCTACGGAGCTGCTGCCAAGTTTTCTTATCTGTGGATTGGAGTGTGGAGACGTTCTTTAACCCTCGGCTGGCTGTTTGGGTGTGTGTGTCCGACGGGGACAGAACAAGAATATCAACCTTGTTGTCAAGCAAAATCAAGCTTTTAATAGTGAGTGCCACACAATGTGCATTAACCAAATAGGGGAACTCAGGCACTATACAGGTTATCTAGAAAGTAAACACAGGGTCAGTCAGTAAGACATTTGATAAAGTAGATCACAACCTACTATTTGATAAGATAGAAAAATGTGGGTTAGACAGCATCACCACCAGATGGATTCATAGCTGGCTGACCGGCCATACTCAGTGTGTGGTCCTCAATGGAACCGCATCTACATGGAGGAAAGTGTGGAGTGGGGTGCCCCAGGGCTCTGTTCTGGGCCCAGTGCTCTTCAACATCTTCATCAACGATTTGGACAAGGGGATAGATGGGGAACTCATCAAATTTGCAGACGACACCAAGCTGGCAGGAATAGCCAACACTCCAGAAGACAGGCTTAAGATACAGGAGGACCTGGACAGACTTGAACACTGGGTGCTATCTAACAAAATGAAATTCAATGGTGAAAAAAGTAAGGTTCTACATTTAGGCAAGAAAAACCAAATGTACAGGTATAGTATAGGGGGTACCTTGCTCAATAGTAGTAACTGTGAGAGGGATCTCAGAGTCCTAGTGGACAATCACCTAAATATGAGCCAGCAGTGTGCTGCAGCTGCCAAAAAAACCAACACAGTGCTAGGCTGCATTAACAGAGGGATAGAATCAAGACCACATGAAGTATTAATACCACTTTACAATGCCTTAGTAAGGCCACACTTGGAATACTGCATCCAGTTTTGGTCACCACGATGTAAAAAAGATGTTGAGACTCTAGAAAGAGTACAGAGAAGAGCAACAAAGATGATTAGGGGACTGGAGGCTAAAACATATAAGGAACGGTTGCAGGAATTGTGCATGTCTAGTTTAATGAAGAGAAGAACGAGGGGGGACATGATAGCAGTGTTCCAATATCTCAGGGGCTGCCACAAAGAAGAGGGAGTCAAGCTATTCTCCAAAGCGCCTGAAGGCAGGACAAGAAGCAACGGATGGAAACTAATCAAGGAGAGAAGCAACCTAGAACTAAGGAGAAACTTCCTGACAGTTAGAACAATTAACCAGTGGAACAACCTGCCTCCAGAAGTGGTGAATGCTCCAACACTGGACGTTTTTAAGAAGAGACTGGACGGCCATTTGTCCGAAATGGTATAGGGTTTCCTGCCTGAGCAGGGGGTTGGACTAGATGACCTCCAAGGTCCCTTCCCATTACTACTACTACTACTACTACTACTACTACTACTACTACTACTACTACTACTACTACTTTGCCCAATGCCCGGTCATTCTGGGTGGTTTACAAATTATTTGAAATATTATAAAATACAAAAGAGCAAAAGATAAAAATGAAGGATAAAGATGTCAAGAATGAAAAAACCCAACAAAAACAAAGAAAACCCTAAAGGGGCTTCAGTCACCCTTCCCAATGAGCCAAATCATAAAAGGCCTTTGAAACCCCTGTAGAATGGGGCATGTTCAAACCTCAGGGTGAATCTGAACTCTGAGCTCTGCTACAGAGAAGGCACAATTCTGGATTCTGGAAATGTGGCATCGTTTAGTCGAAGGAACCTGGAGTGTACCAACCTTGCCAGGCTGGATTGGTCAGTTTCTGTGGGAGGCAAATGGTATCTCTACACATTGGTGGCATTCAAATATGTGAACAACCAGTTCTCTGTGTGGATGCCGCTTCCAGAAGTCCATTCTGGGCCTGAAAAACAAAAAATTAGCTACCGGTTCTGCTGAAGTGGTGCGAACTGGCTGAATCCCACCACTGCCTCTATGAGAGGGGTCTTCAAACTTGGCAACTTTAAGACTTGTGGACTTCAACTCCCAGAATTCTGGGAGTTGAAGTCCACAAGTCTTAATGTTACCAAGTTTGAAGACCCCTGTGCTATGACATGCAGGGCTTTGAATCACACTAGGAAACAAACTGGTAATTAGTGCAACTCACAAAGGAGGGGCATTACATGGGCATACTGCCTTCAAAATCAGCTTCACTGCAGTAGTCAAACCAGAAGGGATATGAGTGATTGTATGAAGTATCCCGTAATCTAGGAAAGGGTGCAACTAGTGCACTAGGTGAAGTATAAAAAGGCTTTTCTGGCCAAGTCTAGGCCAATTTGCCACAGCCAATTCACTGTAGCCAACTCACCATGGGGCAACTCACCATGGGACAATTCAACGCTATATTAATCATTTCGTTCAGTTTCTTATTATTGGTGACCACATTTTTGTCAAAACTATTGTAACTTGTAATTCTCAATTGACTTTCTTTACTTTATTATTAGGGCCACTGTTCTGTTGAAATGAATCTAACCACGGCTGCCATCTGCTCCTTGAGAAGAAGCTTTGAGTCCAGGGAGACCCCAAAGTTGCATATCACCTTTGGATGGATAATCTGATTTCTCTTTTTCCTCACCAATTAAAAACACAACTGCAACCAAACACATACATGTACACACACAAAAGTAAGAAATATGTTATTTTTCCTCATGTATTTCAAATAAATAACAAAAATTCAAACGTAGGCCAGAATGTTTTGTTCTTTGATAAAAAAATTTTTTAATAAAAGCATAATGAGAAAACATAAAATACAAATTAAATCAGATATTTGTGGAGAGGTCATTGCTGTCAGCAATTTTGATGCCTTGAAAACCTGGTTATAAAGTAGCTTCCCATTCTTAAGTTGCTTATTCATGCCACTATATTAGCAGAAAACATTTAGCTATAGTGAACTATGGTTTATTCAGTTAACCCAATTTTCAATCTGACTAAGACACCCTGTATAAAAGGACAAAGTCAATTGGAAAGGACTGTATGCTTGTGAGTGATAATTAAACTAGAAAAAAATTCTTTACAACTTGCCCAATCCAGTGTTTTTTTGGAAGAGGTGGGTGTATAGTATGCTGGCAGTTACTGAGTATATGCAATGAATGCGGTTTCCTGCATGTGCATAACACTAAGTCAAAAATTAACCA